GGCGCGCTCAGGGGCGGCAGCGTCGGGACTCGAACCCGGGCCGCCGCTTCTCCGAGGTCACCGAAGGGACCTTGGCGGGCATTCTCCTCCTTCCGTTGTTATAAGTGGGGAAACCGAGGCCCGGAGGGGCGGGGCAGGGCCGTGGCACTTTGGGGGCAGGACCGAGGCCGCCTGCTTTCTAAGTTCCAGGAGAGTCAGGGGAACTTCTTTGACAGATAGGGAAACTGAGGCCAAAGGGAGAGGAGGGGTCTTGGAATAAATGGTGGGGCCGGGCGGGCCCCTTGATTTACAGGTGATTCAGTGGGGGGCGGGGGGCTGGAGGGGATTACGAACACCAGATCCTTTTCTTTTACAGTTAGGGAAACTGAGAGCAGAGGGAGAAGGGAAGGGCCTTGGCTAGGGCCGTGAGGTCAAGGACTCGAAAGGGAAATCCCCCAGTCCGCCTGGGGGGCAGGGAGTGGGCTTGGGAGAGTCAGTGAGTGTCAGCGGGAAGGGACCCCAGAAACCTTGGGGAGGCTGCCTCCCCCATGGAAGGAGGGGGTGCATCTAGAGAGGCCGGGTCAGGCTAACCAAGTGGGGGGCTTGGCCAGTGTTGGGGGTCTCCCTACCTCGGGCCCCCAGGATTCTAGATTGAATGAATTTCAGCCAGGAGGCCTTTCTAGAGGCAAATGGAGAAAGGGAATCCCAGGGACTGGAAGCGTCTGTCTGACTCTTATCTGTCCTTCCCCTCCTACATCTCGCCATCCTGGTGGCCTCCTTAGCAAAGTTCTGCCTGGCATCGTATCTCCTCTCCCTCCCTTCTCCCCATTCTGCTCCAGCCAGACTGTGGTCTCCAGAAACACTCTGTGCCCTCCTCACCCTAGGGACAGCTCTTTGCTGGTCTTTATTCACAGCCTTTTATCTGTGCAAAGCCTGCCTTATCTTTTCAGTCCTGACTCAGATGCTGGCTCTTCCATGAAGCCTCCTGGATTTCCCCCAGTCAGTAAAACATTTCCTCTCCCAGCAGTTGAAGGCACTTGCCTCGTCCTCTATCGTGCATTCGAGTTCTCTGCCTGGGTGTGCTGGCCCTGGGCCCTGGGGACTTCCAAAGAGCTCAGGGCTCCCTAGAACTGACTGGAGAGAGCCTTGCTGCTGGGTCTTTTCCCTGAGGAAGCCTCCTGTTAATCAGAGGCTCGCCATCTGTGGGACCCCTGACGGGAGTGGACCGGCTACCCTCTAGCTAGGGCCCTGTCCAACTCTGGACTTTGATCCATCCCATACTTTGCAGAGGTGCAGAAGGGAACCCCCAAGAGAGGCAGGCAGGAAGTGTCCAGTATTGATCTCCTGGACTCTGGTCAGGAGGCCCAGCTTCACAGCCGAGTTCTTCCACTCACAGTCTTGGGCCTTGGGCAAGCCCCTCTACTCTGTAAGCCTCAGTTTCCCCACCCACAAAAAGGAACAGTCAGATTTGAACGGCAGAGCATCCTGAGTTGTTGTGAAGATCAAATAAAATGCCTGGTATCCCTTAACCCTGGCCCAGCTCCTCGTTCTGAAAAAGGTGCAGGGCTGGTATGGGGCAGGCGGCTCACAGTGACTGACCTCCCCTGGGTTCTGGCTCTTGGGGCTGCTGTCCCTGCAGAGAGTGTGCCCAGCACATCCCCGCTCTGCCACTTCGGGCCTCGCTGTGCAGTAACCGATTGGAGGGATGGACTAGAGAAAAAGGACCTCCACGGGCCTACTTTGGGGACCTCCAGGTGCACTTTGGCTGGCCTCAGCCCAGGGCCTTCTTCTCTGCCTGGATGAATGGGTGCTTTGTTACTTGTCTTTTTAGGTTGAGGCCGGAGAAGCTTCAAGGTCAGTGTTTTGGCTTGTGTTTGTTTGGGTTGTTGTTTTGCTTGGTGCTGCCAATTGAGGACCTGAGCTTATCGGGAAAGGAGGGTGAGGCCACTCCTTTTCTCTGTATCCCAGAGGCCAAGTTACTTTGTGTGCTATGACTGATGTAGTTCTGTAGCTGCGTTCGTATAAGGATTGGCGTGTATCACGTCGTTTGAAGCTGATAGTAACCCCAGAAAGTGGGGCTACAGGTGGGAAGCTGGAGAGTCAGAGATCAAGGTACACAGCTTCGTGTTGGAGCTTGTATTCAAACTCAGGGCCCTGGGACTCCAAGCCTAACCGTCTACTATGCCAGGCTTGCTGCCTTTCAACGTGACCTAAAGAGATCCCCCGATCTGCTTTGTGATGGAGTGAAGTGATAGCAAAGCGCTTTTCTCATAACCCTGTGAGATCAGGCCATTGGACAGCTGAGGAAACTAAGCCATGGAGAAGGGACAGAGGCACAGGCCCTGGGGCTGTGAATCAGCAGGGGCTGAGCCTGGGGCCTAAGGGAGGCCTCTGGAGTCCTGGTCCAGGTTTCTTTGTATAACAGCAAGCTGTCCCTTGGGTTTTCCAGAGGGAAGAAATGCTAGGTGAACTTTGAGAGAGGGTCATAGTCATCAGAATTCTGTGAGTGGAAGGGCCTCCACTAACCTTTTTTTTCCCCAAAAAGATTATTGATGACTTTTTTTTCTTTTCTTTATTTCATTTTTTTTTTTTTGGAGGCAGTGGGGGTTAAGTGACTTGCCCAGGGTCACAGAGTAAGTGTCTGAGGCCACATTTGAACTCAGGTCCTCCTGGTTCCAGGGATGGTGCTCTATCCTCTGTGCCACCTAGCTACCCCCAATTGATGACTTTTTTTTACATCATCCTTCATTCTCTTCCTTCCCCCCAGTGAAATCATCCCCTGTAATTAAGAAAAATAGTTAAGCATCCTCTGTTTCTGACAAAACACCAGCAGCATTTTAGCATTCTTTACATTTACGTTAATCCTAGTCTTTGTGAATATTTTCTCCGTAGTTATGTCCCTCCGCTTGATCATTTATTGGTGCTTCTTGGTAGATGCCACAATGTTACAGTATACCGCGGTCTCCCTGTATGCTTCTTAAAATTGGATGTTTTTAAAAAATGCTCTTAATGACCAAAGAAGGAACCATTGGGTTCATAAACAAATATTTCAGAAAACTTTGGATTTCTCCCACCAGAGTCCCACTTCTGGAGTCGGATCGGTGGTCTTGGAGGCTGCTTGAAGGTGATGCCAACCTCTGGCAGGTCTTGGCCGTGGACTGTCAGCCAAAGACCATCCCAGGGAGACAGTTGTGATACACCCCGGGCTGCTGTGGGAACCAGGTGGTAGACTTAGTTTGTTGGGGATGTCAGGGGTAGAGTTGAAATTCCAGTTGGAGTGCTTGGATTTTGGGTGGCTTTTCTGTGGATAATGGGATTACTTAAGGTATTTCACAAAGCATCTTGCTTCATTCACCATAAGCTGTGGCATATGCATGATGAGCAAGCTTTGGGTTTGGAGTTTTGGTTTCTAAAAGCCTCCACCCACCCAGCTTATTAGAAACCCTGTGCCAATGGCCTCCTTTAGCAAAATTATTAGAATAAGGGAAATTGCAAGTTCCTTCTGTTCTCAGCAGATTTTTACTCCTGTGTGGGTTGATGGGACATAATGCAGCTTCACTACCAGAGTTTTTGATGAGAAGGGCTTGATTTTAATGCTAAGAAATAAAAAAAAGGTAAAACGCAACTTCTTAATAAAAGGGAATGAGTAGATAATAGCTTTTATTAGGAAGTAAAGCAGGAAAAGGTACCCTTACAAAAGCCTTAAGATTTGGGTTGTCTTAGACATCAGCCCGGCCTCCCTGGGGGGGTGGCCCTCAAGCTGGTCCTGCCCTGGCCAGGCTTGGATTGGGCCCAGGGAGTCTTCTCGGCTTTTTGGCCGCAACTAGCATGGCTTTGTGGTGATTTTGATGTTTCTCCTGGGGCCTGGCCGGAGTTCAGCCCAGGTACTTATTCTGCTGCCACTCTAAAGTAAAAGCCCCCTGAAGGTTTGGGGGATATGAGAGGCTTAGCCCTCTGCCCTGAGCGGTGGGCCAGCCTCACCCTGAAGATCTCTTGAAGGGGCCAGACCCCTCCGAAGGGGCCGCGGTGCCTCAGGCTCGGATGGGGGCCAGCTTTTTCATGAAAAGGGCATCTTTTGCTCTCTTTTAAAAGCATTTGACCTTTCCTAAAAACTCTGCCTTTCAATTGCCCCGATACCATTTCCACCCTCAAAATGTATTTTTGAAATCTTTTTGAAGAGAATGCAGAACCATCAGTAATTAGATCCTTATGTTCCACCTGGAGGTACATTCATTAAACAAGCACTTATTAAGCTCCGACTATGTGCCAGGCACTGCCAGGAACACACAGACAAAAATGGAAATGACCAGTGCCCTCCAGGAGCATCCATTCCACAAGGGAGAAACACTGTGAACTTGGATTAGTTGATGTGTGTGTGTGTGTGTGTGTGTGTGTACACACACGTACTACACACTTAAAATAAATCCGCAGCAGTTTGGTGTATAGGGTGGTGGTCAGGGATGCCCAGATAACAGGGCGTTAGGAGAGGAATTCCTTGAGCAGCCTTGAAGGAGACTGGAGATTCTCCCAGGCAGAGGCTAGGACAGAGGGGAGCCTCC